CCCCCCCGAACATTATATAATATCACGTAAACGCGAATGTACATGTGCGTTTAAAGCCCATGTGCGTCGAGCACTGGTAGTTTTGAAGGTTTCATGTCTTATATACTGAACACACTGTGTGTATGTGTTGTGTTGCAAATGCCAAAGGGTATGGGGGATGACAGGGATGTATGGATGGATAGATGGATGGATGGGTTGGTTTTGGGTTTGACCTACAATGCCATTGAATGTCAATTTAGTAGCGATCGTATTGTGTAATGCGTTTACACACACTATCTGTAAAGTATATACTGTATATTTAGTGTACAGAATAATCCACTGACTACTCCCGATATACACTAATGTAGATGCGGTAATATTGTTGGTTAATGTATTTAACAATGGGTACAAACATAAGCACTAGGAGGTAACGGGGTGGGTTGAGTGTTAATAAACCAGCTAGATGATATTTATTTATGCTGAAGTGACATTGCATGTTATTTTTTTGCATAATCAGCGCTGGTTATGGTTGTAAATACATAGTGACGTACGGGTACTCGATGTGTGTGTATGTACTGTATATACACTGTACATGTCATGAGCACCAGAACCCAAAACCCGTAACCCAAGCATTTTGGGTGACTTTTTTGTCGTAATATAAAGCGATTGTGTGATTGAGTTGTGTGTTATTTCCTCTGCCTATGAATTTAATCAAATTTTGAAGCACTTGTGCTTTTCGTCTCTCTCTCTCTCTCTCTCTCTCTCTCTTTCTCTCTCTCTCTCTCTCTCTCTCTCTCTCTNCTCTCTCTCTCTCTCTCTCTCTCTCTCTCTCTCTCTCTCTCTCTCTCTCTCGCACTCACATCCCAGTCCTCTAATCGACAGTATATATTGAGAAACACTTTATTATATTGTTTGTCGCCTTTAAACACAATACCCTATTGAATATAAATTAACGATTATATACATGGTTAGTCGCGCGCGCAATTAAGCTAGCCTGTTTTGTTTGCTCACCATGATGACCCTACCCTCCACTCCTGTCACAAACTACCAGTGTGTTTAATTATAATTAATTGTTGTTAAATAAATACACATAAACAAATATATGTAAAATTGTCGATCAGTTTTGTGTTGAATTTTTACATATACTGTACATAACAAAAAAATTGATGTTTATTTTGGGCCCCATTTTATGCATTTATATATTTCCCACTGTTTTTTGCTGTACTTATAATATATACTGCGGTTATTATTGATGGCAGAAATATACATGGTATTATTATTATCCCTGTTTTTGAAGTGGCGCTGTATTATGTTTAGGTTGAATAACAAAGTACAGTATATATACAGTGTATAAACACCCGTTATTGTGAATTCTGAGAATAGTGTACTGTTTTTTGTGTGCAAAACATATTAAACATAGCGATTCTTTAGCGGCATGAGGGTTAAAAAAGCAGTTTTTATTTATTACATACACTATATGTATATATGATGTACGGCTCACTTAATATAAGCCTATGGTTACTCTCGAGGAGATATTTTTTTCAAAAAAGTGAGTGATAGAGAGAGAGAGAGAGAGTGTGTGTGAGTGAGTGTGCGAGTCGTTTACTACATAAGCGACTCCTTATTTCATTTGGCAACACCATCGCCACCACCACCACTACTAGTTTTAACCATCATCAANAAAGACATTGAAGGTTTTGTGAATATATTTATATATACACAGTATATATTATACGAGGCGTACATTTATAAACACCATATTTATTGTGTATATATGTTTTTTTCATGCCGTTTGTTGCCATCAAAAACACAGTATAAAAATGTACTGCAAATAGATTTTATTTTTATATATCGTTCATTATTTAGCGCCCGAAACATAAAATGACATGTATTTGGTTTTGGGAAAGGCATGTCTGGCATAGAATCTGACATTTTATCGGGCAAAATATTTCACCTATTTCCAGTTAGAATAGATAGGCATAACAATCATGGTATTAATGTCACATTAATTGTTAGCTAGATAGACAAAACAGCTTCAATCAGGTATCAATCAGATAGAATAACAATAGCATTATGATATATTTGTCGGTCACATATTTGCTGGCTTTCAATACATGGTAAGAGAGATAGAGAGTGGGCAACAGGGAGTGTAAATTGTTATAGTGGTGGTGCTGGTGATGTTGATGATGGTTAAAACTAGTAGTGGTGGTGGCGATGGTGTTGCCAAATGAAATAAGGAGTCGCTTATGTAGTAAACGACTCGCACACTCACTCACACACACACTCTCTCTCTCACATACACCACACATACTCTCCCTCTCTATCCCATGTCTTCGTAATATTTTACTCGCGATTAGTATTGTATTCACTCGTCAGTGTGTTTTGGTCGGTGCGTTTGGGTTGCTGTATAACTAAACACACACACCATGTACAATAACAATCTTGGTTGAATATTAACCAGTGATAGTGTGATACAGACATGTCTATACCCTAACGCCATCGGCACAGTTGTGTTGATATATGTTGTGCACACATAGATGTGGTGGTAGTGTTGCTGTTGTTGTTGTCTGGGCTGTCCATCCGCTGCCAAATACCATCACAAAAAAATATAATTTGCGTACAAAACATACATGATATGTATTGAAGCCATACCCCGATGATTATTTAATTAAAATGAATGCCCATCAAATATATTAATCTATTTTATAAAAATTGTTTTGATGATGGTTGTTATGTTATTTGCGTTGTTTGCCCAGTTATCAACATGGAAACATAATGATGATGGTGTATTTTAAATATGTGCGTTAAATCGACCATAATCCCAATTTATTTGCAATATTCTGTGGTGGAGGAGAGTATGTGAGAGATTGTGTGGATAATTGTTAAAATACATTATGGTGTTTATGTTTTGAGCTCCAGAATTGGCAATATATTTGTTTTGCTATTGAATTACAATTATCTGAATATTTTTAATATTATAATATTGTTAAATACCGTATGAATTATATTAATTGACTGAATAATAAATATATCGTAAATAATGTTATTAATTATGCGAAATAATAATTATATTTGAAAATTTACATTATTGTTATTTTGTTTCAATGGGTTGTCTACAGTACATGTGCTCACACAGCCATAGCCGCCGAGACACTTGACTTTGTTGTTGTCCGCCCCCGACATTACATAATCTCTCTCTCTCTCTCTCTCTCTCTCTCTCTCTCTCTCTCTC